TATAATATTGAATGTTGAAACATTTCAACATTACATTCATGCATATGCATGACTAAGTCCCATTTAAAATTTCAATATAAACTTTTAGATTCAAAATGAAGTATGAGTTCCTCTCCCTAAAAACTTTCTATAGTGAAACAATTTCCAAATTTCACAACTTTGTAAATTTGTAACTTTATTTCCTATAAACAACTTTGCTAACTTCGAACACTTAACATGATAATTATGCTCACACTAGCATAATGATCATGTTTTTATTGGAATAACAATTATGTTTCCACTAGCTTTGACATGTGTTCAGAAATCACCTCGACTTTTAGAAATCAATATTTATTGACTTTCTTACCAAAGTTTAGATTTATGATATGTGGTGCTTCGATAAGCCTTTATCTAGACTTCTCATGCTTATACACCATTTATTATATAGCTCACGTGTGTGTCCAAACTCTTCAAGAACTTATATCAATAAGTCTCGAGTGTTCAAACTATTTTCCATTTCTCACAATTCAAACTATAAAAAGGGATGTCGTAATCATATTCGAATTTGAGAATGCATTCAGCACACCAGCTATCTATAATCCTTCAAAATCTACTAGTGAATGTGTTTCCTCATATTCATTTTCATTAAGTAGAAAGAAACCTCTTAAGCATTAGATTTTAATTTGTATGTGTTCCTATCCATGTGAATTCTTCATTTCCAACCATTATCATATGATAAGGTTTATGACAAATTCAAACTCATATGGACTAGAATTTCTTATCTTAATTTCTAGCTATTTGGTAGCACAACAGCGTACCATTGCGTCCAAGTTATTGAGAAACTCACCCACACTGATCAATGTACTTTCACTGATCAACGTGCTTAATATTATGCTATCAAACGAGAACTTATAGAACTCACATGCATAGTCAAAATAACTGGAATGACACGGAAAACTAGAATATGTCAACAGGGTAGGTTATAAACCTCAAGTCGTGTGCTAGTCAATACTAAAAGGTTTATTCTTGATTAGCTCTTGACACTTTTCAAGACCATTAAGGGTCCTACTGACCTCTTGACATATAAGATTCTTGGTCGAGCCACATTCCTTGACAAAAAAATATTCAAGAGTCAGTGGGGATTCTTATCAAGACTTCATGTAATTGGTCTTAGTTGGTCATTGTTTTAGCCAAAACATCACAACTAGCAATTTCAAATGTGTAAGAGTAAGAAAAAAATTTAGTCTACATTTCATGAGGCATTATAAACATACTTAGAACATGTGACTCAACGTATAACTTGGAGTAACTGGAGTATAACTCTAAAACTTTTATATTAGAACGAAGTGTGACTTGTCCTTTGATTTAAGCATTTCAACAATTTCTAATACCTCTCCTTAGCCATACAAATCCACTAAGGTGTCCTTAGAGGAGCAAGTGTGACATGGTTCCATACTCATTAGGATGATCATAAAACATAATACTAAAGTACTCTCCTTTTCTTTCAGATTGAAGAAACTTTTATCTATTTGCCTAATTGACTCTTCTTGTTTGTTCTGCTATAGTTTGAAACATTTCAAGGTATTAGAATCACACTCAATCCTGTAAGTATAACCATATTAATTGTACCAACAACAAATCATGACGAATAGACTATATCGTCCTTTCTGGTGGATCTGACCTGTACACATCAATGTGTATTAGATCCTTCATTCTTTCACGGCTCACATACATATGCGAACAAGGAATTAGTCTTAGTTTCCCAAAGCTGAAGATTCTTATTTATCACACAATACAAGTTGCATAATTCCAAGTTTCTGTCCAATTGAAACTTGGATGATGAGAATCCTTCCTCATTTGGTAATTTATGAAACTACCACAAACGATAAAACCAAGAATCAAATTCATTTCCATCATTGCTAATAATATATAAACACTAATTTTCACATCATAAAATAAGATAAAATTAAAGATTTATTTTATTGATAAAAAATGTGGAAAACTTGTCCTTCGAGTGGAAATACATATGAAAACTATGTTTCTAAATATTCCTAAGAAATCCATCATAATCCTTAGTAGCAGCTCAAAAATCTGATCATCGAACCATGCGATTGAAATCCATCTCTTCGCGACCAGACTCAACTCGCTCTTCCTTTAAGCTTCCTTTCTTTTCTTCGATCATACAAATCATCAAAATGCAATCTTATCACATCATCTATTAAGAATCTATAAATAGGAACTTAATAGAGTTATATAGTGGACTTACTTAAAGTAGATTCATTCATTTTGACTTTACAATCCTTGCGATCCTTTAGGTAGATACGGAAGCTTCGCATCCAATGCCCCTTCTCTTGGCAATAGAAAAATATGTACTCTTTGGGAACAATGCATAGGACTATGTCAGAACTTTCCTTTCTATTATGATCACACTTTTCGATCATGGCTAATTTCTATCCTTTAGGAGAAGAAATCATTTATGGACTATCACCTTTGCCATCACAAATGTCCATGGAAATGCTGGATGTAGATCTTCCAAGCAAAATTTCTTGCCAAGTGCGCCAAATCATTGCTGATTTAGCAGCAATTAGAAATTATGTCATATCAGTGAGGGTCACGTCGTGATCTATGGTATAGTAGTCTTTAACAAACTGACCATACGACTCCGGAAGTGACTGAAGAACCAAGTCAACAACCAGCTTCCTTGGGAAAACGACACCCAACATTCATAGTCTGTCATGGTGTGATTTCATGTTTAGAACATGTGCACATATAGAGCTTGCATCTTTATGTTTACATTCCAATCAGGCTTGCGTCAGCTTGAACTTTTCAAGTCGACAAAATTGTAGGTTAGAGAGAATTAATGGAGGAGTTGGAGGAAGAGAAGTATGATTTCCAATTCAACCTTTGCATGAAGAAGGGAATGATGTTTCACCTTTATCGACATTTGGAATATCATCTTCGAATGGAAAACCTTTCCAAAGAATTGTGGAAGATCATAGTTATCAAAAGTAGACATCTACAAAAGGGGAGAAATTCAAGTTAGTTGATACAATCTTTAATATCACACCCAAATGAAATATTAAGGCTAGGACCTAACACAATAATTCACAATTCGGAAGAGGGATGCCGTGATCCAATTGTAAATTATTTTTCGGTAGGTAAATGAAGATTTACCAATTCCACCACGAAAACAAAATTTTAAACGAATTAGGTTTTTAAATGAAATTCCTAGATCTCTTGAGATTCATTGAACTTTTCAATGACATGTTTAATATCAATTATGCCCTTCAAATTTGTGACTGGGATACCGAGGATCACAAACAAGGTGTGAATAACCATGCAAATTAGCTTGGCACTCTCGAGTCATTAACCACCTAATCAATGTGCAGGTTAACCACATACGCTCCATTGATCTTTGATAATTCTCTAGCTACCCTTTGTCACCCTTGTAAGTCCAAGTTAGTGTGTCGGTTGACGACACATGCTCCACTAACGACTTGGCAAGGTGCAAAGTGGAATTTCATGGAACTGCATCATTTTCACATTTTTCTAAAGTAACTAAGATCGGGAATTTATAAAAGTGTTTAGTTACTTTATATTTATTATACTTATTAATGAGAGTTTGTGCCCTATCTTACTCGTTCGTCTAACGACCCTCCACTAGTTAATGGTGCAGTGGGTAAAAATGGATACCCAATGTCAGTCATTTTACAGACTGCTTTCTTAAACACCATTTATAGATCATCTTCGTTAATGAGGCATAATAATAGTAAACTGACCTTTTAGTTATACATATATAATATATTAGACTTTTAATTTTATATAGTATAAGGTGTATTTTAAACTTATAAAATGTTCATTTATTTAATAAAAGAACGAATATGGAAAAAATATCTCGTTCGTTTAGTTAAACGAACGAACACGAACAATGCTCTCGTTCGTTCATTTATGTCCGTGGACCTTCGTTTTCGTTTTCCTTTTGTTCATTTATGTTCGTTCGTTTATTTTACTAGAAATATATTATTTATATAAACATGTTTGTATGTATTTGTCCGTTTAAGTTCATATCTAATTGTTTGTTTATGTTTATTTAAGTTCATTTTTATTCATTTGTTTATATTCTTTAATGTTAATTTATGTTCGCTTAATTTTGTATGTGTTTATGTTCTTTATGTTCATTTGTACCCGTTTACTGGTAAACGAACAAACGTAAATGAACACGAACAAACTAAATTTCTTAATGAACAAACACGAATATAGAATTTTGTTCATTTAATTGTTCGTGTTCATTTGTTTATCCTTGAAAGTTTAATGATCGAACACGAACAAACCTTCGTTCACAGCCCTATAAAGTTTCGTAAGATAAAGAAAAGGGTGAAATTCTTGCTTATACAAAAAATTGTTGTGCATAAAGAAAGCTAATAAATTTTAAATAAGCAAAATCCCAAACATCCCATTAGTGAATTAGCCATTGGTACCGGGAACTCTAGTTAGTACTCTAGCATTTGCGACCTGGCTGTGTGCACTTGAAATATGCTATGGGTATTGATGCCGCTGATTTTCGACTCAAAGCTTGTTTTAGGAAGAATTGCTCGGTGGTCCTCGCAATTGTTAATTATAATTTACTATAAGGATGAAGGAAAAGCAGAGTGTCACATTAAATTATAAGTGTGCAATGTTGAAATTGCTAGCTAATTGGTTTCGCTTGATCCAGTTTCCTTCCTTTGCGTTTATCAGCATACCAATTGAGATTTTGTTCAACACCATTATGAAAATATACGGGGGCAGAGGATCCCTTATTCAAGTTCACTTTTCTCTCAATACTCTCCCCAAATCGACCGATTCATTATTATAACAAGGAGGCGGAGTCTACAAAACATTCATTCAAGCTCGCTTTTCCTTTCCAGGTACACTTATTAGAAGCAATTAATTGAGATTTTGATGGATTACTATCACATAACCAAATGACTATTGAGAGCGGATGGATACAAGTGGAAGAAAATATTTGAAATATAAATACGGATATGATAAAATAACGTCATCCACGATTTTATTTAACAAAACGGATAATTATAAAGACCATACTATGTTTCAACTCTCACTTATTCATATGCTTTAGTACAAAAACTCGTTAAAAGATTCTTGTAGTCGTTATATATTTTCATGTCTCTACAATCATATCCTGAAAACAACAAAAATGGTAATTAGAAGGACCTCATACCAAAATGGTAAACCTGAAAAAGAGAGAAGAGTTAACGTATAATTACTGCTCATATTCAATGTTAACTCTCCCGAGAGCAAGACGAGCAATCTTTCCAAAAGATTCTTCAGACAGTTGAAGTTCATTCATTGCACATCCGCTGCAAGTACCTACAACCGTAACATCAACACTATTTCCTGTGCATGCATCCCGAATGGCTTTGTTGGTTCCACTAAGGCAACGCACTCGGAACCTCCTTCCACAGCTGGCTATTCCATTGGCAAACAAGCCACTATGTGCTTTTGCAATCATGGTGCCTTGATCTTGCGTGCCAAAGCATAATGATGCTGCAAAATCACAAAAGAACAATAATGATGCTTGAAGATCGAGTTTAGTTTGTATTATTGTGGAATTTGAAGAATAAATATTACTTACGAACATAAGGTGGGCTATATACGATGGCCATGGCATTGAGGGCATGAGCAACTGAGGTGAGACATACAACCATGCTAATTAGGATTAAAAGTTTGGTCCCCAAACTCATCTTTGATAAGTAATATGTTTCCTTTTTATGGCTACTCAAGTACTGAAACGTCCTTACAGTGAGATTGTTTACTTGTTTTGGTATGGAGAAGCGCATAAAGCTTTCCTTTTATAGGTGGAAAGACCTAGCTCTTAGGTTAATATGATGTGATCATGACATGTGTTCAACAAAGTCTAAATCAAATTTTCAAGTCAGAGAAGAGGGCTTCTAAGAATAGGTTGTTATGTTCTACATTAGTGCTACTTTTAGAAGGAAAGATGGGGTCTATGACAATATCTTGGACTTTCGTAAAAATTGCTACTTTTAGAAATAATGGTGCACTTATTGTTTTAATATTCACATTCGATTAATGTTTTAAGATTGACCCATGTCTAGTTTTGTCCTAAATACTCAATTTGAATTGATGCCTTCTCTTAGGTTTGGTGGGGTGTCATCGAGACCATCCACTACAAGAAGTCTGGGTATTAGCGGCGACGCCTGTCGTCCCTAATGGTTGAGGTTGTCGCCGCTAATACCTGTAGCGGTTACACATCACTGCAGATGCATCGCCGGTAATGCTTCGTCGCTAATACACATTCAGACGCCGCTAAAGGTTACCTGTTGTTGCTATTGCTTTCGTCGCCGCTAATAGCCATCCGTCGCTGCTAATAGTATCGCTGCTAATACCCAGTTGTCACCACAAAAGGTGTCGCCGCAAAAACTGTTTTGTTTCTTCTTTTTTTTTTTTGTTTATTTAACATGAAATTTATAAAAAACAATATAACATTTATAAAATCTGATAACCTTTTATAAAAATATTAATCCATACACAAACAATCCAAAATATTAGTCCATATACAATCCAAAATATTAATCCACACCACCCAATTAAAGTATTCTTCCAAATTACAAAACATTTTCATAAAATCATAAAATAATTACTCGTCCGCATCATTTCCTTCATCATTTGGTGGCGGTAATGAGCGAAACCACTTTTCCAATGCTGCAGAACAGATCCAGTCTTGTAGTATTGTTTACAACATTTCCAACTACAATGAAAACAAAATATATTACCAACATATCATAATAACATTACAATTTCCAAAAATTATATCATTCTACAAAATATCAACACATCAACATATCAAATACACTTAAATATACATCTACTTTTCATTATAACATTGTACTTTCAAAAAATTATCAAACTACAAAATATCAACATATCAAACCATAACCAACATATCATTATAGCATTCTACTTTGCAAAAATTACTAAACTACAAAATATCAACATATCAAATACACTTAAATATACATCTACTTTTCATTATAACATTGTACTTTCAAAAAATTATCAAACTACAAAATATCAACATATCAAACCATAACCAACATATCATTATAGCATTCTACTTTGCAAAAATTACTAAACTACAAAATATCAACATATCAAACCATAATCAACATATTATTATAGCATTCTACTTTCGATTATATCATTTGTTTTTCAAAAATTACCAAACTACAAAATATCAACATATCAAATCATAACCAACATATCATTATAGCATTCTACTTTCCATTATAGCATTGTATTTTCCATTATATCATTATACTTTTCAACTTAAACTAACAATTACCTGTGATTACGACTGTTCTTGTGTCACTGGTTGTTCCTGATCGTACATGGACACAACGGTTGGGGTTTTACGCCCAATGCCTCTGATATGTCCGCGTCGAACACCTAATATTCTTTCAAAACAGTTTTTTATATCAGTGGGTGTTAGACCGTTTGCTTTAGAAGTAATATAAACATAAATTTCATTTTTAAGGCAATGTAATATAAACATAAATTACAAAACATACATAAAATGCATAAAAACTTCCCACAAATCTGAAAAAACATACAATCCAACAAAATGTATACAATCCAACAAAATGCACAACCACTTCATATCTCAAAATACAAACATCATCACTCAACAAAATTGAAAATTACTAACATTTTATCATCTAAATTGACACCAAAATAGAAAAAAAAATATCATAAAAAGAGGAGGAATTCGACCTTGAATGTGGGCAATTTCGGAATGTACCTCAAGGTCGCCGGTTTTGGGCTGTGGCGGTCTTGGGGAAAGGAGGGGCTAGCACCGGTCTCAACAGCCACTTCCTAGTCCACCAAGTCGGAAGAAATAACCGAGATTGAAGAAAGAAAGGAGAGAAAAACGAGAGAAGAAAGGAGATTGCAGAAAAGAAATTCGCAGAAAGGTTAACTAGAAATGGGATATCTGCACGAGCATTAGCGGCGACAAGTATTAGCGGCAACGTGTGGGTATTAGGGCGACATTAGGGTAATAGCGGCGACACATGAAGGGAAAAGTCAATGCGTCTTTTCGCTTTCCTCTACAGCCGTTGGATTGAAAAGAAATCGAATAGATGGGGGTAGTTTGACGCGGATCGTTGTAATTGAGCATTAGCGATGATGTCATTAGCAGGAACAACAGGCAATAGCGGCGACATGTAATGCGTCAATTACATGTCGCCGCTATTGTCTGGTGTCGTCGCTAAAGGCGTCGCAGATAATGCTAACCTTTCTTGTAGTGATCAAACTCCACCTTAGCCAAACACTCGTTTACTCCATTGTAGTTTGACAGCCGAAATACACGTCAGCACCACACCCTCGTATCTCATGCCACGTGCAGCCTTGCTTAGCACTCCGTCCAACATAAATTAAAGATGTAATATGGGTGCAAAACTGGGCCTTGACCAACCCCATAGAAATTAGAAATGAAATATTTTATATATATATATATATATATATATATATATATATATATATATATATATATAAAGGGTTAAAGTTTTAAATTGTCACATGGTCCATGTTAAATTGTAATAATTCATATGTTAAGACTTGTCGATTAAAGAATAGAGACTACAATTTCTTGAATATATCAAATTGCATTTTAATATTCATAATGATTTCATTGTTTATTACTATTTTCTTTATTATCTTAATTAAGCGATTACTTGCAACTTAAACAAACAATTTATTTTAAAATCAGACATTGTTCCATTTTATTGTCATTTAAATTAATTTGCTACTTCTTTATATTTTGTAAATTATTTTGTCTACCCTAAAAAAATATAATAGCTATACCAATAGCCTAAAATGTTTAGCTAGGTTTGGCGGTTTCACTCTTGGTAATGCTTAGAGCATATCCATTAGGGGACTCCATGAAAAGGTTAATAGAGTCGAGAACAGTTCTTGGTGATGCTTAGAGCATATCCATTAGGGGACTCCATGAAAAGGTTAATAGAGTCGAGAACAGTCCATATATCGTTTATACCATACTTACAAATGATGATGTCGCATGAACCACATGTTGGCCAAGAACCGCTTCAAAACATTTTAGGTGGTCCCTTAATCTCTACTTTCTTGATTTCAATTTTTATATTGCTTTTATCTTATTTTGGATTTTTAACAGAGAAATCTACTAAAAAGTCTTGATGTTTAGGCTTAGTAGACGATTTATGTATTATCTATTTTTAGTCAATTAATTTCCAACTACCACCAAGTATATATTCTTTTTGACCGTTTTACCTGATCAATAGGTTATCCAATGTTAAAAAAATTACACTTTTGATTCACATTTTAAACTTTATTACACATTTAATACAAAATTTACATTTTTGGCCTAAATTTCAAAATTTATTACAAATTTAATACAAAATTTATAATTTTCGCCTAATTTTAAAAAATTAATCATATCTTCATGCAAAATTTAGTTTATTTACATCTTCTTTTTTTTCAAATTCTTTTTTTTTTGAATATTTTTCTTTTTCTTAATAAAATCATTTTTGTACAAAAAACATATTCTAACATAAAACACATTCTTTTTTCCATATAAAAATCTTCTTTTAAATTTTTTTATGCAAAATATTTATTTACAGAATTAGGTATTTCATAGGTATTAATATATAAACACTTATTTTTCAATAAATGCATTTGTATAGAAACGCGTTTTAATAAAAATTTTGTAGACAAATATGTATTATTATAAAAATGTATACAAACATGCATTTATAAAGAAAATATAAAAACAAATATTTCATAGTAAATGTATTTGCATATATTTATATACACACAAATATGTGTTTATATATATATATATATATATATATATATATATATATATATATATATATATATATATGCACGTGTTGCAATATTTCTTTTATAAACACTTATTTCTTAATAAATATATTTGTATACCAACACATTTTTTTAAAAAAATATGTATACAAACACGTGTTTCGTAAAAATATATACAAACAAGTTTTTATAAAAAAAATTATATATAGAAACATATTTGTATAAAAATGAATACAGACAGGCATTTGTGTGTGTGTATATATATATATATATATATATATATATATATATATATATATATATATATATATATATATATATATATATATATATATATATATATGCACACAAATATGTGCATTATACATTTTTTTAGTAAAAATGCTTTTGTATAAGTTTTTATAAAACATGTATTTGTATATATTTTTCTTAATTAAAAATATGTTTTTATGAAAAATTATTTATTATCAAAATGAATGTTTATAAGAAAATGTATTGAAACATTATAAATATATATATATATATATATATATATATATATATATATATTATGAAACATATTTGTATACAAATGAATTTATTATAAAATAGGTATTTGCATATTTCTTTCAAATACAATACATGTTTAGAAATAGGTATTTTGCATAAAAGAAGTTTTTTATAAAAAGTTCTTATTTAGAAAAAAGACGGTTTTTTTGTGAAAGCCTATTTTTTGTATAAAAATGATTTTAAAAAGAAAGAAAAACATATGAAAAAAAATCTAAAAAACTAAATTTTGTATGAATTTGTAAAGAATTTTTGAAAGATAGGCCAATTTACACCAAAAATGTAAATTTTGAACAGAATTTGCAATAAAATGTGAAATATAGAACAAAAGTTCAAATGTTAAACCAAATTTGTAATTTTTTTAAAAATTTAATCAAAAGATATAAATTTTGAAAGTTAGCTGAACTATTTGCCGGATAAATGTTAAAAATGAACATATTTGTCAGTTTATGGGAATTAATTGACTAGAAAAACAGATAAGGACTAAATTTTAAAACTAAATTTTGAATGACTTTGTAATGAATTTTTGAAATATAAGCCAAAAGTGTAAATTTATGATCAAATTTGCAATAAGTTTTTAAATTTAAGCAAAAAGTATAAATTTTAGACCAAATTTGTAATAAAACTTAAAATGTGGGGCAATCTTAGCTAATAAATGAAGGTTTTTTGTTACATGTTATCACCTAATTCAATATGCCACATGATATTTTTTTAATTTTTTCAATTTATTTAAATCCACTTGAAAAATTATGGTTTTTTTTTGGTTTTGTTATTAAATTATACAAAAAAAATATATAATTTAAAAATATAATAAATAAAATAAAGAAACTTAAATGTTCCCAGAAATTCTCATGTAATTTGTCAATTAATGTATTACATTCAATTTAAATTCAAATCAACATTTGTAATTGAAAAAACTTAATATTCGCTAATTTCTTTTGAATTCACGATAATACGTCGAAACCTCAGAAAAAGTTGTTCATTTACATCTAATATTGATATTATTTTCAAATTTAGGTTTTTTAAATTATTAAATATGTAATGCTTAATAAAATATATTAGTTTTTAAAAAAAAAAATCGAGTAATAGTACATGGGTCTCACAACTATTAATATAATTTTTGAAAGTTGGATAATTTGTTGACCGGATAAAATGGTCAAAATGAATATATAATTGCCGGTTTTTGGAAACAAATTAGCCAAAAAAAAAAACAGATAATGTCAAATTTTATTATGAATACTAAAAATAAAGACTTTTCAGTAGATTTTGGTTTTAAATGATATATATATATATATATATATATATATATATATATATATATATATATATATATATATATATATATATATATATATATATATATATATATATATATATATATATTCATTTTTAGTTGGCTGATTTTTATTAAGGGAGCTGATTTTTCCACATGTTCATTTATCTTTCCACTGAAAAATTAATTCATTGGACATTGATGCCCTCCTTTAATTATCGAAGAGAGAGCAAGATCTTTTCAAACAAAATGCCTGAAATCTTCTCCAAGAATCACCCTTCACTCCAATTACTACTGCATCTCGCCTTCGTCAAATTCGAAATTGAATCGCGTCCTCGTGTGCTTCCTTGTATGGTATCACTCTAAGTTCTTCAACTTCAACCTTTAATGATATATTATCTTCTCATTACCCAAATAAAATTCAAGTAAATTCATCTCCATTTTAATTTCCTCTTCCACATCTATCCAAAACCTAATCGCAATTTGCAGAGAAAAAGGTGGAATTAGTGGTAAAACCAACAAAGATGAGAACTTGAACAAGTTAAATGGATCTAAAGTTTGCTTTTCAGATGTTACAAATTTGTGTGGTTTCAATCGACATTGTTGTATATTGTCTCGTTATTCGATCGGGAGGGGTTAAAGATTCATGGAAAACCGATTGCCAGGCCACCAAGAACAACCTTTTATCTGGTAGGAATTTTGGGGTTAAACATTTTGTTGTATTATCTGCAAGCTGTGTGCAAAAACCCCTTCCCAAGCCAGCAAGCAATTAACGAACCAGATTTTGCCTTCAGTAGTGAAAGATTCTTACCTGTATCGCAACTCGATGAGCTGTGGCTGAAGTTCGTCGTCTCTAACCTTCTCAATTTGTTTCGAGATGGAATTGCGGATCTTTGTGTTTTTGGAGTACAAATCGTTGACTTGTTCTTCGATTCCATGCTTGTTGCTACCATTTTCACCGCTTAATTGGGAAGATTTTTCAATCGTAAAGCTTCGTAATTTCACAAACAGCCCAAACAATGTCGAAATCATCGGTAATAACTCAAAAAACGCAAAAGATTTTAGGTTTTATGATTCAACGACTTGTTATCTTGGAGAAGGGTAGATGTTTAAACTTGTGGTTCTTGATTTTCTCCGTTGGAAGATGCAGCCGATGATAAATGTCAATACATGAGTTCTTTGACTTTTTTGTGTTCTTGCCTTTCTTCAATATCTCTAAATTAAAAAGAGGGACATAATTGTCATTACATTAATTATTCAGTGGAGGGATAAAAAAACTTATGTGGAAAAATCAGCTCCCTTTTATTAAATTTATTATATTTATAATAATGAAAATATCTTCCATATATACGTTCAAAAGTAGACATATGTAGAAACTTTTAAAAAATTTATGCATCTAGTAAGGAAATGTATTTAAAATCCGAAGGTTTTTTTTTTTTTGAAAGTGATTTGTACACAAAAAATTTTCGCCATAGACAACAATTTACGTTTTACAGAGTTGTACAATACAATATTTTAATACACTAATTGTTGCGTACCGAGAAAATTTTTGTGTACGCATCAACTTTTTTTTTTTTTTTTTTTTTTTTTTTTTTTTTTTTTTTGTAGATGCTCTTCCATGTTTTCTTTTTCTTATACTTGACTTGTACTTCTCCCGGCCCTCTACAGGGCCTTTTTATTTTATATAGTTACCCGATAGAAAAAATGGAGATATGTAGGGGTGAGCGAAAACGGAACCGCAAACCAAAAAAACCGAAAAAACCGCATAAACCGAAATCGAAAAAACGAATCCGAAATGAAAACTGATGGTGCGGTTTTTAGTTTTGCAAAAACCGAAAATACACGGTGCGGTGCAGTTTCTACTCTTGCAAAAACCGCAACAAACCGAACCGCACCGCATATATATATATATATATATATATATATATATATATATATATATATATATATATATATATATATTAAATGTTGATATTCATAAGAACCATGAACTTACGAACAATTAAAATTTCCATAAATATAAATATTTATCTTATATATCAGAGGTTGATTATATATTTTTAAGTATACATTCAGTGGTATTTATAAAAAAAAATGTCTACGACATTTTTTAACATTTAAATATGAATAGTACTAGTGATATAATATCATTTTTATGAATATATTAATTGATATTATCGTATGTATTTGTGAAACAAATAATATATTAAATTCGTATTATATTCAAATATTAGAAACATGTTAGATGAGTTGTTATGTAATTTGATTTTAAATCAAGAGGTGCTAATATCGGTTTATTTCCAATAAATGAGTAGCATTCCTCAAATGAGTCAAAGTAACTCGCTGAAGTACTTGAGTTTTAGTAAAAAAGTAAAACAAAAACAAAAAAAAAAAACCAACAAAAAGCCGTAAAATAAAATAATAATAAAAAGAACCGCAAAAACCAAACAACATAAAACTGAACGGTGCGGTTTCAAAATTTCAAAAAACCGAAATTGCTGTTTTCAGTTCGGTTTTAACCAAAAACCATACTAAACTGCAGCATGCTCACCCCTAGAGATATGGATTACATAATTTTAAATCGTTACAAATCACATATATATTTGATGCTAGGCATTTTATTCAACAAATTTGATACAAAGCAAAGAGGCCAGGCTATAATGTATACAACGCCCTTGAGTCTCAAGCATTACATATATAATGGACAATCATATAGAGATCATGCATCCACATTTTATAAGATTATATCCTGAAAATTTTAAAAATATATAAAAATTAGTCAAAAGTTGTACTAACACGAATTAACGGAAAAAGAAGGGGTTTAAAATTACTGATGATATTCGATCTTAATTTTCCCGGCATTAGGATCCGCAATCCTTGCAAATGCCTCTTGGGAAAGGTCAAGTTGATTCCCTGCACATCCAGGACAAAGATCAACAACAGTCAAATCCACGGTACCTCCTCTGCATGGATGCGGGACGCCTGCATTAGTTCCACCGGTGCAGCGTACGCGATATCTCCTACCACATGCACTTTTGCCAGCAAACAAACCGGCGTTTGCTGCTACAATCATTACACCTCGATCATGATAACCATAGCATGATGATGCTACGAAAGATGACAAAACATTTAAAAATTGCTACATAAACATAAACAATTTAGTTTATATGTGGTATGTCAATGAACTTACGAACATAAGATGGGGTGTAGAATGTGGCTACGCCATCAGTGGCATGAGCAAGTGAGGTGAGAAATGCAACCATGGCTATCAGGATCAGAGCTCTAGTCACCAAACCCATATTTGGCACCTCTCCTTTTTATGTCCTAATTTGGTTTCTAATGTTTTTGGATTTGGTGAAGAGAAACATAAAGGAGCATTCCATTTATACCTGAAAAACCTACCTTAGATGCTAATAAGACGTGCAACAACTTTCTTGTACGTACGTATTCAATAAAATAAAAATTCTTGTAAACTCATCCATCCAGAAAGCGGTTTAACTTTTGAATCTCCCCTAAGTTGTAACTTTCTTGTAACTCAATAATGTTTTTGACGACTTTGAAGTTTGAACTAATTAGAAAAATATAAATACTTTAATTGAACGCGCAAATCTTTTCTTTAATTTCTTGAAACTCATGTATGTATGTTCTCGAATGAGAATGTTTTAATTTTTTACATTCTTTGTGAACTGTAATTTATCTAAACAATAAATCACATCTCCATAAAAAAACTATATTTTAAAACCAATAGGTATTTTTAAGTAGAAAATTATGCTAGCATGAGGATTATTATTGTAGCTTTTGTATCCTAATACCAAAATTATCGAAAACGGTAAGGAAGAAAAGACAATGAATGTAGTTTTCTTGAGAAAATCATTTAATTTTCAAATGCATAAATGAGTAACGGACAATTCGAAGGCTCAAATCAAAAGGAAGAGGATAAATTGAGATCTTTCCTGGATGAATTGGATGCGGAACTTAAACTCTTGTCGCACTTCACTTGGGCCTATTATTTTAATTTTGTAGTTAGCCGAGTAACGTCCAAGTCTTTCAAAAACAACACGAAGTTAAATATTACATATTACTAGGTAGGGATCAAATGAGGTTTTTAGCCAATCAACCAAGCACTATCTTAATAGACAAGTTAAATAAAATGATGTCGTAGTTCAATATAAAAGTTAAATAAAAAATATCTTTAATTACCATTCAATAGATTAAATTATATTATTACGAGTTGTTAATTCAACGGTTGTTTAACTCTTTAATAGGAAAGCAAGTATTTTAATTATTAAATATATCATAAATTAGATTTTATAAAGATATTTTATTAAATTTTATAGAGCCAATGTATTATAGAAAAATCTTACGTATGGTTGGATGGAGAGTAAAACGAGGTGTAAGGGGGTGTTTGGAAAAACTTTTTAAGCCTAAAAGATTTTTTTGTAAAAGTCCTTTTTATAAAAGTTCTTTTGAGGAAACAAAAGCCAAAAGTGAGTTTTAAAAAGTGTTTGGGTAGTATTTTTTAACTTTTGAGTGTGATTTAGCTTTAAAAGTTCAAAAGTTACAAAAAGTCACACTTTCTTGACTTTTGAAAACTCACCATTTTCTTCTTTACAAAAAGTTATTTTGAAAAGAACTTTTGTATCATCCAAACATCTTTATATCTTTTTAGAAAAGTTAAAAGACAAAAGTCATTTAAAAAGTTTTCCCAAACACCCTCTAAGTGTATCTTATATTAGTGTGATACAGTCTCTTATTTCTTTATATATGTTGGACTCTCTCATCTCTTTTCATATGAAGTGTTTTGAATAGTTAATATGAGATTTCACATATATCTTACATGGTATCAAAGTCGGCATCCGACTCGACATATCCTTACCTGACCTCACATTACAAGAATATAACCCTATGTCGGCAACATCTATACCGACGGCATGAGTCGTTGCTAAAAATCGGGCTATATTGATGACTAGTACAGGTTCGACCTTGCTTTTTTTACCTCATACTCTACACGGACGACTTGTCGTCGAAATAGGTAAGATGCGAAAGGAAAATAATATTCCCGTTTTCTATAAATGTAAACTAACAGGAAAACATTTTTCCTGTTTTTCTTAAAATGTAAACCAACATGTCATCCACATACAGTGCGAAAAAATATTTTTAATTTTTTTAAGATAATCTTACAAGAAATGAAAAATGATGTCAAGTTTGTTTAACTCTATACCGACGACAAATCGTGAAACATCGATCCGTGGGAGTTTTATAGCGACAAGTTGTCGTTGGGAAAAATGTTATTTAATATTTATTTTCTGATTTATCTCATAAATGAAAACGACAACCTTTTGGTTTACCCTATACTGATCCCACGTCGACATATGTTTCTACTTCAACATGAGGACGACCTTTTGGTTTACCCTATACTGATCACACATCGATATATGTTTCTATGGGACTCGATGAGTGTATGAACATAAACGACAAGTCCAAGGGAATCTCCTAACCCTTGAAGACTGACTCGATGAGTTATTCATAAAACTCTGCGAGTCGTAGACTGGACACGTTCTTATGAGAGAGGTGAACTCGCCGAGTTCAAGGAAGAACTCGGCGAGTCAGATGAAGATGGTCCTTATAGTTTGAAGGAAGAAGAACATGTCGAGTTCTTGCTAGACTCGTCGAGCGGAGTTGGGGTTGTATCGAATAAGTGGATTATTGTGACAACCCGATATTTCAACTCTATGCAATGACCTAAAAAGTAAAGTATTGTAGCTACTTTTAAAATAATGAAATTAATATCAAAAATGAAATGTGTAAAAGTCTCTATAGTGATGTCTATTATGCTAGATAATGTGTCAAGGTTTATAGAAATACTAAGAACACTAAAAACCGAGTTATAACGAAGAAATTATGATCATTCTAAGATTTCCGACAAAACCGGCAAGACCGATTAAACGAAAAACGTGAAGTTTCAATACAATAGTTTTTAGCCTTAAGTATCTAAATGAAAGTTAAAGATAACATCAAACTGTGAGCATGCA